ATGTGAGCACATTAAGTACAAGCGGGAGAGGAAATTTAGGTCAGATGTGTTATGTCTGTTTGGAGGTAGTCAACCACGTAAAGAGAGGAAGAGAGAGAGAGTGATAAACCGTACTTGCAATCAGACGCCATTCTTTCACAAAAGCACACTTATCGCACACGCATGCGCAGTGTCTAAACATAGACAAACATCTCAAATGAACATGTGATGCACAGAAAGGCACACATTTATCCATTATAGCCTACTGAAGAGACCTTTTTGAAAGATATCGTTTTTTTTGTTTGCTTTGTAATTTTGAGGTGTTCAGTTTTATTTTGGTTTTAGAAAATAAACGTGATTGCTCTCCTCATAAATCAACTCTTTCTTCACAATATTAATGTTTTTTAATCTTACTGACCCTAACATTTTGAACGGTAGCGTATATACTATATATGCATATGCAACACATATTTAATAGCAGCTGTTTTAAAGGGGTTGTGACCTACACAAGAGTTAATGGTTTTAAGTGCTGGGTGATGACATCAACTGGTTTGAGATGATGCGTGCTGACTGGCTGATAAGCATAACTGCATGCTTCACTCCAAGTCAATCAGATGTACAAGACTGAGAGTTGGTACGATGGTTGCTGCATGACTGAAAGACACGCTTCCCCTATTCCCTCACTTCTTCTGTCTTGCTCCCTCCTTTTCCATCCCTCTTTCCCTCATGTTAGCTGTACTGTGCATTGTCCTGTCACCATCACAAACTTAAATTATTTGAGATTGAGTTACACTTGATCCTGGCTTATTTCCACTTGATGATGTTAAGTTGGAGTTTGGTTTTGTCTTAAAGGATCAAGCTATGTTTTGACTCTTGGTCTTCAACAAAGTATGTAACAATACCATTAAAAAAACAGCGTAACAATATCTTAGGAAGTATGTAAGTAATCTTAGGATTTAAGCTTTGGTTTTGTGTAAATGAAAAGCCACACCAAAGCCACTTTCCAAAACCACACTTGTCAGGAAATTCAGCCAAAAATAAATAAATATATAAAATAATAATAATACAATACAGTTCAAAACTTTGGGGTCAGTAATATTTTTCAAATAAATTAAAGTTTTCCTTTTTTTTTTTTTAAATAAATGCCATTCTTTTCACATTTCCACTCATCAAAGAGCCCACAAAAATATTTAGCAGCATTACAGTTTTCAAGACTGATAGGAAATGCTTCCCAAGCACAAAATCACCTCAACTGCAATAATAGCAACATTACCATTTTTACTGTATTTGTGATCAAATAAACACAGCCTTGGTGAGCCTAAGAAACTCATTTCAAAAGCATTACAAATTCTTACCAAACCCAAACTTTTAAACAGTATTTTAGAGCCGAGCAAAGCCACAAAAATTAATATACAAACTACAGATATTTTCATGTCTTTTTTTTTTTTAAATTGTACCCCATCGTAATGACTTTTCAAGGTCTGGAAATCACAAATCCAGTGGTACTGATTTACAAGAATTTATGTATTGAGACATTTGGGTGTGCTTAAAATCTTTTTCTTTGTGTACCTTTCCCCCATCCATCTGCTCTTCCCTACCTGTATGCCCGCTTTACTCTGCACCTCCGACAGGATGTTGACCAGGCAGCCAATCAGAGACAGTACAGCAGATAACTCTTTGGGCTAAATGAGTAATGTTGGCCTATGAATTGGGCTGGACAAACAAATTGTGCCTTAATTTGTGAATACTTTGCAACTCACATAACTACTAGTTGATTAAAGTTGGACACAGCTGCGCCTTTATTTTATTTATTTATTTTTTTACATTTTGCAATAACAGCAAAAGTCATTCAAACTAGGAATTTGGAACATTAAGAAATGTCTAGGTCGGCAAATGTTTAACATAACAAACCCAGCTTATTTAAACCAATTTATATTTGTCTGCTCTAATTCCAAGCATTTTAAGCCTTTAGATCAAAAGGTTTGACAGCTCATGTGAAACAAACTCAAGTGCGTCCAACTTTTGACTGGAACTGTAAATTGTCAGGTTAAAAGTTACTCCTTCATGCACCGAGTCAGAAAATGTACGCCTGTCAGTCATCTAAATGAGGGACAGGATGTGTGCATGTGTATGTGCGGGTATGTGTTTCTGATAACTTTTTCTGTGTGTGTCTGTGTGTGTGTGTGTGAGGAAGCACCTGCTTTGTGACACCTGGTCATTTTTGTTCAGGTTTACAACTTACCCCTGACCCCCTTCACACAGAATCAGACAGAATGCCTTAGGCAAAATCATGTGTGCAGGAACCTGCATCTGTGCCATCAGTACACTCTCACTTTTCTGCTATTCCATAACGTCCTAAAAATTCTGGCATTATTGATCCACCCTCATGTCGTTTCAAACCTGTATGGCTTTCTTTCTTTCTTAAACAGAACACAAAAGGAGAATATCCTGGTTCTTTCAGTGAAACGAAAGTGGACCACACCACACACCTCTACACTCCAAATGTTCTGAATACATTCAATAGCTTTTTCTGAGGAAAAGACTGAAATTTAAATTGCTATTCACTGAAAAACCTGACATTCACCCTAGCTCTCCTTGACGTGTTTATGAGAGTTTGTTTGAAAAATAGTGACTGAATGAATTGTCTTTTGGAAGAGATCTTTTCAGTGAGTTTTTTTATTACTATTAGTTAATTGGAGTAGTGATGTCTGATTCAAGAATAGAGTTCTTTTTACCCAGATATTTTAGTGAATCTTTTATGAGATCTCGTTGGAGAATTAATGATGTTTGATTTAACAATCAATAGTTCTTTTCAGTTAGATCTTTTCAGTGAACCTTTCATGAGAGTGCACTGGAAAAGTACAGGCTTGATTCAAGAATCAATAGTTCTTTGCACTCAATGACCTGGTCTAAGCAGTAAACAGATCAACAGAAGAAAAGATTATTAGTAAACAGTGATTATTCAGGTAAATCCCTTAAACTTTAGTATTATTTGCAAATCCATGCAAAAACAAACTTTATTCAAAACATCTACTTTGGTATTTTATGGAAGAAAAACTTGTTTGGAGCAGCACAAAAGCGAATGAATGATGACAGAATTTTGCACAACTCATTTAGTTGGATTGTTTACATTAGAAATATGTCTGCATTCCTCTTCTCTTATGTAAAAGCAAGGACGGGCATCGATGTAGACGATGTTTTCTTAACTTCTCAGCGATTATACCTCACTATCTACCTTTTTGGCTCTCATTCCCTCTTCATTCTTCCTCTGTTCAGTGCTAGTGAAGGCATGATGGCAATCGCCATCCATCTGCCCTCATAAGTAATGTTCTGTATCCATCTGTGCCTTTGCATTCTATCAGCCAAGCTCAGCTCAGAGACGATGCCTGAAAGGAGGCCTTATGGACAGATGAGGCAAACTACAGTACACACTCATCAATAACCTGGCAGGAAAGCACACACAAACGATAACAGAATCCATTCCTGTTAACTAATCATTCCCAGTGAAGCATCTATAAATCATGGGTGGCTGGGGATGAAAGATCTTTAACCTTTTCCATGGATTTCTGGATCCCTTATGCCATCATAGCCCCTTTGGATCATATGCCACTTGACTTCAAAGGCCGTTCTATGCCAGTGAAATCAAAAGATGAGTGCTATAAAACATTGCTTCACTTGTTAAGATTTGTGTTTTGCATCAACACAGGACCTCTTCATCATACTTTGATCTCACAATCAAAAGTGGTGGTCACACCATTGCTCTGTAAAATTTTGCAGCTGAAATCTAGTCACTTAAATACAGATCCCCAAAAGGAACATGGTGATTGTAATAAATAAGATAGGAGGAAAGTTATTTCAATGCTTTTGTGTTGTCTTGCAAAAGTACTCTGTTCCCCCAGGGACTTTTGCACTCATTCATAATAATACTGCATTCCCCTGAGGAACTTTGAGTTTGCTAGCAAAGATTGTGCCTTCCCCTGACAGACATAATATGAGGTGTGAGAAAAAACTACATTTCAGAGTTTTTGTAAGCAAATACAACTTTTCTCAGGGGAAACAATACTTTTGTGAGAGAATGCAAAGATTCTCAGGAAGGTGCAATAATTTTGTGAGAGAACTCAATTGTTTTGCAAAAGAACATAACGTTTCTTGAGGAATACAATATTTTTGAGGGAGAATGCAAAAGCATTGAAATATATTTTTTCCTCCAATTACATATTTTTTCCCATTATCATTAGGCGCTCTGTATTCCAATAAGAATCCGAGTGTTTGGGAGTTTCCAGTGACAGCGAAAAGTTCCCTTCGCAGATTTTGCTCATGTTCAAGTTGGTCATGCAAATTCACTGTGTTGGCCAACAAAAAGCTGCTTGGTTTCAAACAACTTCTGTTTGAGCAGCACTTTATTGCACTATTGTCAATGGACTTATGCTCTACATAGAGCAGCAACTCAAATGTACTTTTGATTTCAATAGACATTAATGTTAAAGTCATCGCTATATCCGGTGCAGGTTGTTGATATTGAAATTTTGTTGCCGGTCCCACTCAGTTAACTCAACTCATAATCATCACCACCTTTCTCACCCCTAGTGACAGGCCTGTTAAATCTGTCATCATTAATTTCAACTTTCTGTAATCTTTTACTGACCCTCATGTAAATCAAAACTTGTATGATTTTATTTCTTCTCCAAAACAATGTTGGTATCCAAACAGTTTTAGTGACCACTGACTTTCATTGTGAAAAAAAACTAAACACAAACATTTCTCAGCATTTCTCCACAAAAGAAAGACAGACATGAAGATGGGTAAATGATGACAGTTTTCATCTCTTTAACATGTTGCTAAGCTAATGATGCAATACTCTAATAAACATAAAATGTCCAGCATATACAAATACAGCTTTTACCACATCCATCTGAATTATGTAGGGGAAAAAGACATTTACTGACTCAGCCAGCAGTCTCATCTGAACATTGTGAAACCGTTAAGACAACTTTATGAAGATAATACAAGATAATACTCACCCCCAAAGCTGTGTGTATCGTCATAAGTGCCAATAAAAGCCTCCTGCTGGAAAATAAATGAATGAGACATACTGAATAATACATTAGTAATTACTATGGCCCTGTCCCAAATGGCAACCTAAACCCTAAAGGTCTTTCTCCGAGTCCACACTCTTGTGACGTAATGCCACTTTGACTGTCGAGTAGAAGTCCGCTGCGAAGCTCGGCAGAAGTGTGGATCCAGGGCACATGCTCGCAAGCACCCTTCTGAACGTAAAAATGACGAATGGGACGCTCTACGGTCTTGTGGACTTAACGGACATGCGCACGCGGTGGCCATTGTAAGTCCGTAAGACTGCAAGTGCACATGAAGTGTTCCATTTGGGACAGGGCCTATGACAAAGTTAGGTGGCTCTTTCAGGAACATATACAGTACCATTCAAAAGTGTGGGGTTCTTTAATATTTTTTAAAGAAGTCTCTTAGGCTGCATTTATTTGATTAAAAATACAGTAAAAATTGTAGTTTTGTGAAATATTTTTACAATTCAAAAAAGCGGTTTTCTATTTTAATATATTTCAAAATATAATTTATTTTGGTAATGGCAAAGCTGAATTTTCAGCATTATTACTCAGTTTTCAGTGTCACATGATCCATCAGAAATCATTCGAATATGTTGATTTGCTGCTCATCAAACATTTCTTATTATTAATAATGCTGAAAACAGTTGTGCTGCTTAATATTTTTGTGGAAACTGTGATACATTTTTTCGGGATTATTTAAAACAGAAATATTTTATAGCATTAAAAATGTATTTACTGTTACTTTTGATCAATTTAATGTATCCTTGCTGAATAAAACTATTAATTTCTTTAAAAAATCTTACTGACCCAAACTTTTGAATGGTATATGGTTTTATTACGTCTTATATTGATTTTTCCGTTCTGCTGGTTCGTCTGGTCAGAGGAGAACTGGCCCCCCGACTGAGCCTGGTTTCTCCCAAGGTTTTTTCTCCATTCTGTCACCGATGGAGTTTTGGTTCCTTGCCGCTGTCGCCTCTGGCTTGCTTAGTTGGGGACACTTAATTTCCAGCGATATCGTTGACTTGATTGCAAAGATATTATTTAAACTGAGCTGGATGTTGACATCACTGAATTCAATGATGAACTGTCTTTAACTGAAAAATGAGTGTTTACTATTGTCATTTTGCATTATTGACACACTATTTTCCTAATTAATGCTGTGCAGTTGCTTTGTCACAATCTGTATTGTTAAAAGCGCTATATAAATAAAGGTGACTTGACTTGACAACTCATAGCATCTGGTCTCTCAACCGAGGTTGTTGAGACCATCCTCCAATCTAGAGCTCCCTCAACGAGGAAACTGTACGCCCTGAAGTGGAGGCTCTTCACTTCATGGTGCGGAGACCGCCTGCTTGACCCAGTTAACTGCCCGATTGGTACAGTGCTGGAGTTCTTGCAGGCCCGTTTCTCCGCGGGGTTAACCCACTCCATCCTGAAGGTCTACGTGGCGGCCATAGCGGCCTACCACGCCCCTCTTGGTGGTCACTCGGTGGGCAAGGACCCTCTGGTTACACGTTTCCTTCGCGGTGTGATGAGGCTGAGGCCTCAGGTACGATCTCGTGTCCCTCCTTGGGACCTCGCTGTGGTGTTAGAAGCTCTCTGTAGGCCTCCCTTTGAGCCTATCGAGGAGATATCGGATCGTCTTCTTACATTAAAGACTGTGTTTCTCTTAGCTGTATCTTCTCT